TAAAAGCTATTAGACCTATTACCCAGGAATAAAGTAATAACTACCTAGTAAATAACTACGATAAGATTACGGAAAATAAACTAATAATTAACGATTTCGTAAAGGCTTTAAGGGCGGTTCTTAGTAATATAAAGAGCCTATAATCCTCCGCTATAAAGCCTAGAGTCGGGAGAGGCACCTTTAATACCCTTAAGAACCTCCCCGATACTAAGGATACTACTAATAATAAAGATAATAAGAAGCGTCCTTATAGTAACACGTCCGTAAAGGCTATCCCTCCTATAATAAAGAGGCTCTATATGATATATAAGAATATCTATACCACCTCCGCCTATTAGTATATGAGGCCAGATATATACCCTTATACCTAATATAGCCGCGAAGATATTATAAAGGTTATAGAAAAGAAGATACATAACTATAGTTTTAAAAGCCGTATAGACACCGCAATACAGGAAAGGCGGGAAGCCTTAGAAGCTATTACCGCTAATAAGATAAAGGAAGTCTAGGAAGATTAACTCTATAATACTACGCCTATTATAACTACTATACCGTAACTATAAAATCAGGGGGTTACTAGGCTACCCGTAAGTATAGTTCTAAAAAACCTTTCCGTTACCGTGAGTATACAGCTAGGCGTCTACCTCTCCTAAGAAAGGGGGGTAGCGCGCCTTTATACGATAACACATTAAGATTATAATAGAGAGCGTCCCTCTTTATTAACTAAGCTAAAGCACTACTATACTACGCGATCCTAGACTTAGGATTATCGATCTACGTCTTTAATAATTAAGGCCGTTTTACGGCCATTAGACTACCCACTAATACTTTATCCTTATCCTTTTAGGTAAGTACTTATAAGGCTTCTATCCTCGGATACGGAGACATTAAGCTACGTATATAATCCCTATTAGGCATAAAAAGGCTATTACGCCTCCGTGACGTCGTATATTATAAGGAGTTCGTTACTAATATTGTCTCGGAACACTAGCTACGCCTATAAGGCTACCGCTAGGATACCGTAAATAATACTATTATCAGCTCTACTAATAACCGGCCTATCTATAAGCTACTAGATATCCACGGCTAGTATATAATTAAACGCGCGGAAGCTATAGCGGCTACCGCGTTTACGGTCTCGGCTTAGCACCCCCGCGATAACCCGTATAAAAGATCGCGATAACTGCGGTAACCGTAGAAGACTATAGCGTAGCGGTAGCACGAACACCTCGGCTATTATAGTACCGATACCCTTATAAGAATCGTTAACGCTATTTAGGGGGTAAGATAAAAGAACCGTGTACCGCCGACTATAACGCGTATAGGTAATTATAAATACTTACGTAGATCCGGCGGATATTATCCCTTTACCTGTTAAAGCCTGGAGAGGCCCTAGCTATTAATTTTCACGATCTTAAAGAGGCGGAGTTATTAGCGGGCGGCCTATATAAGTTAATTATATTCGTTATAGACGTATACACAGATTATGTATAGAATTACTATCTACAGAAAAGAGACTAAGGCTCTATCCTTTATACGTTAGGAGACGTTTTTACCCTGCTTAAACCCTAATTCGACGTTAAGCCACGTATCCCACGGGACGATTCTAAGATATTTCAGCACCCAGAAATCATTACTTTCCTCGCTACTAAAGGGGTAAAAGGTTAGCCGTCGACACTATATTTATAGGATTAAAATGGCGTCGTAGAATGGATTAAAGGTATTATTAAATGGAGGGCGAGGGCTATAAGGATTAGGGCTAATCTGCCTACGTCTATCAAGCCTAAAATCTTTAAGACTACTATATATCTATATAACAGAACGCCACGATATATTAACGACTAGAAGACGCTATATAAAGGCCTACGCGGCCGTTACTCTAAGCTTATATATTTACAAGTATACGGCTATAAAGTCTTTAGAAAAACACGCGATACCTAGGCTAAAAGGAACCGCCTATAAAGGCTAGAACCGAAGGCATAGATCGGATATTATATTAGATACTATTCCTTGAATAGCTTTTGCGTATAGCTACTATACCTAACGGATATTATCACTATAAGAGACGTGATCTTTAATGAAGATAAGACCCTTAACGGCAGGATTAAAACGCTATAAGCTATAGCTTCGGCCAAGGAAATCGGGGAACGCCTATAATCTATCTATATCACCTAATCTAATAATATTATACCCGCGAATAGGCTATTATTAAGGGGTATAGCCGTAGACGTATTAGATCCTGAGTCGGAAGACTCTAACGCTACCGGTATTATTACGGGTAAAAGCGACGCTACCGCTATTACTACGGGTAAAAGCGATACTACTACTAATATTACGGATAAAGGCGAGACCGTTATTATTATTATAAGAGAGGCTACCATTATTACTACGGGCACTGCTATTGCTATAGATACTACTATTATTATAGGAGAAGACTATACTACCGCTATTATTACGGGTAAAGGCGATAACACCGCTATTACTACGGGAGAGAATACCGCTATTACTACGGATACTCTACGGTTTACTACTATAAGGTTTAAACCGTTTTCTACGCCTTTAATATCCCCGGAAGACCCTGCGCGCGCGTTTCTTATAGTATTAGCGGTAGTTCGGGGCGTTAAGGTAGAAGGAGACGATAACTACTAATAGGCAGCCGCGGATACCCTTAAGGGGTACCTATTAGCCGTACGCCTATTAGCCGCGCGCCTATTATCCGCGCGCTCCTCTATCACGAGAACTATCGTAAGTATCTATAAGACTAAGAAGGTGTAGAACGATAACGTCTAAAAGGCGTTCTTTATCGCTAGAAGGACTTATACCCCTATGCGCACGAGGAAGTAAGCTATTAACGATAGCGACGTCGGTGCTATAGATTCCCCTTATACCTCTTAGCCGCTGTCGTATATAACCCGCGAGGATCTCCCGCCTATATTAAACCACTACCGCGATATACGCCTTTACCCGTTACGGGAGCGGTGGTTCTAGGCCGAGGGGGAATACCTTAAAGGGCACCGATAAATAGGCTATTAGTAGGAGGTAGGCGGTAATTAGGCTAATAAGTAATAAGTCCTCGATTATAGATAAGTATATATCTATAAATGTAATACGGAGGGCACCCTCCTTAAGTGTAAGGCACGCCTTATAGTGCGAGGGGATTAATAAAAACGGTTAGAGACTAAAGATAACTACGTCACTATAGTAGCCTCGCGGTCCTTCCGTACACTAATAGCGATTACCGTATAATTTAATCTAGAAATAAGGTAGTTCGACGCCGTTAACGCGTTCGTTAACGCTAGCCTTAAAGAAAAGGTATTAATAAAGATACCGTAAGACTATAAGATACTAGGTAAGGTCCTATTACTATGAAAAGCCCTCTTCGGATTAAGGGTATCGCTACTATTATAGTAAGAGGAATTTAGCAGCACGCTATAAAAGATAGGATTCACGGCTATCCCTAATAACCCCTATATTATAATCCGTGACGGTTTAATCCTATTCTTCTATATCGATAATATCGGACTTATATATTATAAAGACCGTAAGACTAATACTAATAATCTTAAGACCGCCCTTAAGCGAAGCTATAGGTTATTAAGAGGCGAAGAAATCCCTTAATTCCTAGGAATTAAGGTTCTAAGGGATAGAGCCACCCGTAGGTTATAGCTATTATAATTCTCCTATATAGAGAAGATCGCGGTTAAATACTATATAGATATCCTCTGCCGAAAACCATTAAAGGTTATCTATAGAACCGTTAATACTACGCGATAGCACGCGCGTGTCGATTCCCGAGGTCCGTTAGTATTAGGGTATAATCGGTTCTATCCTATATACCGCTATTATGATAAGACCTGATATCGCGTTCACCTATTCGAAGCTTTTCTAATATAACGTTAATCTCTCCTCTAACCACCTTAAGAGGGCTTAATAAGTGCTACTATTCCTATACTATATAAGACACTATTACCTGGAATTTAGCGGGGATAAACTCTTCTTAACCGTAAACGATGCGTTCTTTAGGGATAATCCAGACTATAAGAGTTTATAAGAATATACGATAAAGCTTTTCGGTGGTACTATTAACTAGAAAGCGGGTAAGTAACTAATAGTTACGATATCGTTAATAGAGTCGGAACTACTTGCTCTTATAGAGGCCGCTAAGGAGATATTATTCGTTAGTCGGATATTAAAGAATCTAAAGCTTCGGTTAGATTAATAATAACTATAGCTATACTACGATAATTAGTAGACTATTAACCTTGTTAATAAGAAGGTATACCGCCTACGAATAAGGCTACGGTACATCGATATTTTTAACTAGTAAACGCGCTAATTAATATAGTAAGGCCTCTTTAAGGTTATGTACGTTAACACGAAGGATATAATTGCGGGTAGTTTAATAAAGGTATTACCGGAGGTAGGGATTAAAAGACTATAGTAATGGATTAAAAGAATTATATTAAGTAGTTAAATTAACTATACGAAGAGATCGAACACGCTAAAGCGGTAGCGACGATAAGGGCTTCTAAGGGCGTAGTAGATCCGATAGATATAGATCCGATTAAGTAAATCCGGCTAATCAGGATCGAGGAACTAATTAAGATAGATTTAAATTAAACGGTTAAATAGGGCAAATTTAGATCCCTTTTATAAGGGCGTTTTCCTGTAACTAATAATTTTACGATAGAAATATTAAGAGTATTTAGTTTAAACCGAAGTCTCTGATTAGTTAGTTAACCTAGGAAGACCCACCTTAACTAAGAGGGTGTATCGTATAGGCACACGGACTACGATATAGTCTATAAGGGATCCAGGGGGGATCCACGCTATAACTAAGGGCTTCGGATATAATAGGGGCGGATACCGGAAAAGACCGGATAGGATCTAAATAATATAGTACCCATAACAGAGTCTTCACCACCTAAATTAAGGGCATAAGAGACTCTCACAGATATAACTTAACATAATACACACACACGAGATTTCTGCTCTACTAAGTTAATTATATAAGTGCTATTTGACGTGCGACAGTACCAAGCTCACCTCTCAACACGGGGAGGACTCGTGCATGTGGACGGAACTGGTGACCACCCATCACTCCCAATACATCCCACCTGCCCTCCACTGACGAGGTTGACCTCAACATCGAAGCCGCGGCCACAGCTACCGTTCCTCGTGCTATTAAGCTTTAGCTACCCGGTCATGACCATCAGGTCTCCTTCCAAGTGCTCCCAGAATTTCGGGCCACTCGCAGACAAATTGCCATGACTTCGAATGGCCACTCTCGGTTTTTATCCTCTCCGACGGAAACAAGGCCCTTTTACGAGGAGTTGAGGGGACAGAGAGATAACGATACCCCCACCGGCGGCGAGTATGGCGCAAGGGTAGACGAAGAAAACTGGAACGAAGAATTCCACGACCAGGACCTGGATCATCTCAAACACCTTGATTCCGACAATAGCCACACTGCCTTTGCTGTCACAGCAAACGTAACGAGAGCAACTCGCGGAGTCTCGCAACAAGAAGATGACCGTGGAGCATATGGCGTGAACCGGGCCCCAAATTGGATGAACCCAGATAAAGATAACGATGGGGATAATGATGTTCCGGCGTCGCTGTTGGTTGAACGTCATGGCAACGAACAGCAGCCTAATGCACCGATAGGACAAAAGCAGTTTCGCCCGGGAAAGTATTACGATACTCTGCCTGGCCGCCTATCACATAAGTCTCGTGCTCGTTGGGAACCAACCCAAGAAGCTCAGCAGGGCTTGCACCATGACGTTCCATTACATTCCGTCAAGTCAAATGCATCTTATAATATTGGTCGCGGAGTCACTAGTCATGCGAGAGAAAAGGCCTTGTGGAGATGGACCAACGTTTCGAACCTTGACTTCTTTATGAAGGACGTTTACGAATATTTCCTCGGCAGTGGCTTCCGGTGCATTATTTGTGAAAGAGTCTTGCACCTGGTGTACGTATAGATCCTTTTCCCCCAAGATGAACGATGAGAGGTGCTCGTCCTCTAATCAAGGCACAGGCAATCGACCTTCCTCGCAGTATTCCTGACTTTCTTGACACAATGCATAGATTATGGTCTAGTGCCTCGAAGCAAAGCGTTGTCGGATGTCGTAATTCCGCAATGTACTAAGGCCATGTCCTGGTACTGGAACCTCGGCCTCTGGCTCTTCGTGTTCTATTTCATCTGGAAGATGGTTCAGTTCACAGTCGACACGCGGCGCCTGCTGAACATACGAGACTTCTACACTTATTTGCTCGAAATTCCCGAGCAGGACATGCAGACAGTTTCTTGGCAAGATGTGGTTGCGCGAATCATGGCTCTTCGAGATGCGAACCCAAGCACTGCCCTTAACATGACGCCGGTGCAACGACAGTGGCTTCGCACACACTCCAAGGAACGGCTTGATGCTGTGGACATTGCTAGCCGGCTGATGCGGAAAGACAATTACTTCATCGCCATGATCAACAAGGATATCTTGGACATGACTCTTCCAATACCGTTCATGCCAAAACGCCAGTTCTTCTCTGGAACCCTTCAATGGTGGATCTATTTCAGCATCATAGACTTTGTCTTTGATCGCAGTGGTCAGGTAAACCAGGAGTTTCTCAAGTCCAGTCGCCGGAGCCTGTTGAGCCGCAAGTTGCGTGAGCGATTCATTGCCGCGGGGATTCTCAACCTTCTGTGCACTCCCTTCTGGATTGGCTACCAAACTTTTATTCATTTTCTGAACTACTACAATGTCTGTCAAAGTCTCTCGCTTGGCTCCGTATACACATGTGCTGAAACTGGCAATAGGAATACAGGAAGAATTCGGCGACTTTGAGCGACAGGCGATACACTGCCTTGGCTCGGTGGAAATTTCGGGAATTCAACGAACTGCCTCATCTTTTTCAGGAGCGAGTCAACATGTCATATCCATTTGCCAGCCGCTACATTGACCAGTTCCCTAAACGGCTCACTGAGCAATTTGCTCGATCAGTCATGCTTATGTCGGGTGCCATCGTTTTTGTCCTCACAGTCGCTTCCTTCCTCGACAACGAGCTTTTTCTCGGCTTTGAGATCACCAAGGATCGAACTGCCCTCTTTTACATCGGCGTCTTTGGTACTGTGTGGGCTCTGGCCCGGGGTATGATACCGGAAGAGACTACTGTTTTCGATCCAGAGTACGCGCTCAAAGCTGTTCTCGACTTTACCCACTACATGCCGGATCATTGGCACGACAAGCTTCATAGCTTTGATGTGAAGCAGGAATTTTCGCAGCTCTACAAGCTTAAGGTGGTGATTCTGCTGGAGGAAATCACGGGCATATTCCTTGCCTCGATGGTGCTTCTCTTTTCTGCGCCCAAAAGCAGCGACCAAATCATTGATTTCTTCAGGGAATTTACAATTCATGTTGACGGACTCGGCTATGTCTGTTCTTTCGCCGAGTTCGATTTCAAACAAGGCTCCGGGGCAGGCAAGCAACGGTTAGATAAGGGGGATGTGCGGGAAGATTACTACTCGGCGAAACATGGGAAGATGGCCGCCTCGTACTACGGCTTCCTGGAGAACTACATGGTCAATCCCAAGACGAGCTTACCGGGAGGGCATGTTCCTCCCGCCGTACGGCAACAGTTTCACCCGCCGCCCGCGTTCTCAGAAGTCAACCCTCCCACGCTCTCGGCGGGCATTCAGGGCTCAGGAATGGAGAGACGCCCACGTGCCCGGGGAGTCACGGGGGATCGTGGTCAACTGGCCAGAGTGCCAAGGTCAGGACCATCTATGACGTTGTCTCCAATGGCCTCTGTGCTTCTTGATCCACACCACCAGCCACATGCGGCAGGTATCGATGGTCATACCATGTATTCCGCTCGAAGTCGTGCGGCATTTCCTGGCGGTTCCTCGGGTAGGGGAATCGTAGAGGAAGCAACTGAAAGTAGAAACGACGTCCAAGTGCAGACCCAGCACCACGGAGACGAAGCTGGAGGTGTCTTCGAGTGTGAGGCAACGCTTGGAGAGTCAGTATGGCAGACTTCACCCTCCAAAACCGTGAGCCGAGAGAACAGTGGAATCGAGTCTCTTGGCCAGGATACTGGAGTTCTCGGGCTGATACATCAGCTTCAACAAGCCCAGCGAGACAATCGATTAGGGGGGGTAACGTAGAATGGATTGGCTGTTGACTTGGAAACCGTTAGAATGTCAATTTGTCTCGTATTAGCTATTGAGTATTATGTAGTACATTAAGGGCCCTACTAGGGAGCCAGTACAGATGGCTATTTTGCTAGTAAAACGGTGGGGCCCGCCAAGCATGATAAGCTACGTAAGTACTAACCTATTTTATATATACAATTAAGTACCCAAACACACAGATATAATCTCTCTTTTCAATTAATCTACTAGTTTCTTATGTACCACATTAATTACAGCATAACTATCGTATATTGAAATAGCATATATATAATTAACTTAATAGAGCAGAAATCTCGTGTATATGTATTATATTGAGTTATATCTGTATAAGTCTTTTATGCCCTTAATTTAGGTGGTGAAGACTCTATTATAGGTACTATATTATTTGGATTCTATCCGGTCTTTCCCGGTATCCGCCCTTATTATATCCTAATACCCGAGGTCCCTAAGATCCGAAGCCCTTAGTTAGGTATAGATCCCCTAAGGACTATATCGTAGTCTATATACCTATACGATATACTCCCTTAATTAAGGTGGGTCTTCCTAGGTTAACTAACTAATTAGAGGCTTCGGTTTAAACTAAAAGCTCTCAATATTTATATTATAAACTTAATAGTTAAGGGAAAACACCCTTATAAAAAGAATCTAAATCCGCCTTATGTAACCGTTTAATTTAATTCTATATTAATTAGTTCCTTGATCCTAATTAGCCGGATTTACTTTATAGGATATATATCTATTAGATCTACTACGCCCTTAAGGGCCTTTATTATTATTACGGCGACGGCTTTAGCGCGTTTAATCTCCTTATATAGTTACTTTAACTACTCGATATAATCCTTTTAATCCGTTAAATTAAGTTATTATTATAATCTTTATATTAGCGGCGGGGTTAACGCGGGGGAGGCGCGGGGCAACTTATAAGGTAGGCGAGGATAAGCTCTAATATCTCGCCGTTACGAGCGTAGCTACTACTATAACTCTATAGGGGCGCGGCGGCGGGGGCGGCGACTATACTAATACTATTAGCCCGGCAAAGGGCGGCACGGTGCGCCCGGAGGGTATAAGTCTAGCGGGTAGCGGCCTAGCGGTACTTACGGATATTCTACGATATGATTAATAACGATAACGTAGCGTACACGGTATAACGGAGAAAGGAGAAAACCTATAAATAGCGTTAGGGCGGTGCGGGCGGCAGCGGCGGCGGCGATAAGGGCGGTAGCGGAGTTATTATAGGGGGGGGGGACCTAATAGGAGGATTAGCGGAGTAAGGGCGTAATAGGGGCGTAGCGGGGATAAACCGGGGCGTAGTAGCTACTACTATAGTTACCGTTAACGTATTTAACGTAGCGGGCGCCGGCTTCTAAGTCGGGTTAGTAGATATAGTACGGAGTAAAGGAGTAGCGGGAATATAATAGGACTATATACTAGGGGGGTTTTGGTAAGGAGTAGCCTAGTAATCTTATACTAGAGATATAATATATAAAGTATAGGGCGATAAACGGACGGTAAGGGTAGGGGCGGCCTATACCGGGTTAGAATATAAAACGGGGGCGTAGAGCGGGCGCGACGATAACGGAGCGGGGAACTTATAGTAGAAGGCTAGGGAGTAGCCGGCCCTTTACCCTTATAGGCGCCGGCACCGGCTCCCCCTTTAGCGATAGAGGTTTTATTATTAGGTATCTAAAGGGGTAAGGGAGTTAGACCGAGGCGGGCGTTACTAGGGCGGAGCGGGGGTAGCGCGGGGATAGTATAAACTAGGACCCCGTTAGATCCCTTACTATATAGCCGAATAGTATTAGGGGATCCTGAATAGGAGTTCTAGGGCTATACTTATACCGTACTAACTACGTAAAAGCTTACCTTAAAAAACGATAGCTTAAAAGGGGAAAAAAGGAAAGCAGGAAAAGAGAGAAGAAGAGAGGGAGGTTTATAGGAAAAAGGGAGCGGTAGATTAGCCCTACGAGTCACTATACCTTCTAGGGAACGGTAGCCACGCCCGGCCTATACTATAGCGCCTACCCTAGAAAGTCTATATAGCGCGAGTAAGGGGGGTATATAACTAAATAAAGGCCGCTATAAATAGCAGGTATATAAAGGAGGTTTTAGAATAAATAATAAATAAAGGAAGGAGTAGGGGGGGGGGGAGGGGGTAGGCGCGCCCCCCTATAGAAGGGAGGGAGGGTATAAAGGGTGCCGCGGCGAGGTGAGAACCTCGCCGGATCCGGAATAACGGAATAAAGGAAAAGACGGCGGCGAGTAACCGTGGCGATAACGCACCGAGGGCGTATACGACCCGACACGGCACCTACTAAACTAACTAGCTAACCCTTATTAGCTACTAGCGCGGAGGTAAGATCCGGTTTTCGAATAGCGATAAAAACGTGGCCGCGGAGCGATACCGTAGCGGCCACGCACGATAGAACTACTTATATAATAAGAGCGTAGGGGTTTTTATCTATTAACGGTTTCCCCTCGAGAATTAGAGAAGGACTATTACCTAGGTGGCTAGCCTAGGTTAGCTAAGCGAGAATAGCGTAATAAATAATAATATTATAATCTTTTAATCCCTACTTCCGGTAAAACCTTCGTTAAACCGTCCGCGATTATATTATTCGTATTAACGTATATAACCTTAAAAAGGCCTTACTATGCTAACTAGCACGCTTATTAGTTATAAATATTAATATACCGTAGCCGTATTTATAGGCATTATACCTTCTTATTAATAAGGTTAATAGTCTACTAATTATTATAATATAGCTATAGTTATTATTAATCTATTATTATTATTATTTTTTATTACTCTACTCTCGCTTAGCTAAGCTAGGCTAGCTACCTAGGTAATAGTCCTTCTCTAATTTTCAAGGGGAAACCGTTAATAGATAAAAACCCCTACGCTCTTATTATATAAGTAGTTCTATTATACGTGGCCGCTACGGTATCGCTCCGCGGCCCCGTTGTTATCGCTATTCGAAAAACGGATCTTACCTCCGGGCTAATAGCTAATAAGGGTTAGCTAGTTAGTTTAGTAGGTGCCGTGTCGGGTCGTATACGCCCTCGGTGCGTTATCGCCACGGTTACTCGCCGCCGTCTTTTCCTTTATTCCGTTATTCCGGATCCGGCGAGGTTCTCACCTCGCCGCGGCACCCTTTATACCCTCCCTCCCTTCTATAGGGGGGCGCGCCTACCCCCCCCCCCCCCCCCTACTCCTTCCTTTATTTATTATTTATTCTAAAACCTCCTTTATATACCTGCTATTTATAGCGGCCTTTATTTAGTTATATACCCCCCTTACTCGCGCTACGTAGGCTCTCCGGGGTAAGCGCTATAGTATAGGCCAGGCATAACTACTATTCCCTAGAAAGTATAGTGACTCGTAGGGCTAATCTACCGCTCCCTTTTCTTATAAACCTCCCTCTTTTCCTCTCTTTTCCTCCTTTCCTCTTTTCCTCCTTTCCTCTTTTCCTCCTTTAAGCCATTATTCTTAAGGTAAGTTTTACGTGGTCGGTATAGTATAAGTACGGCCCTAGAATGCCCGTATAGGATACCCTAGTACCGTTCGGCTATATAGTAGGGGATCTAATAGGGTCCCGGGTTATACTATCCCCGCGCCGCCCCCGCTCCGCCCCCGTAATAACCGCCTTAATCTAACTCCCCTACCCTTTTAGATACCTAGTAATAAGAACTTTATTACTAAAGGAGGAGCCGGTACCACCACCTATAAGGGTAAAGGGCCGGCTACCCCTTAGCCTTCTACTATAAGTTCCCCGCTCTATTATCGTCTCGCCCGCTCTACGCCCCCACTTTATATTCTAACCCGGTATAGTCCGCCCCTATTATCCGCTTATCGCTATATACCTCCTATATCGTGTCTCTTACTCGTAATTATTAGGCAGCTCCTTACTAAAATCCGCCCGGTAAATAATCGTGTTATATTCCCGCTACGCTTCCGCTACGCCCCTATTATATCGCTTTTACTAACCCGATTTAGGAGCGGGCGCTTATTATATTAAGTATATTAATAGTAACCGTAGTATTAGCTATTACGCCCTAGTTTATCCCCGCTATACCCCCGCTAGACCCTCGCTCTGCTAATCCTCTTATTAGGTTCCCCCCCCCATAATAACCCCGTTACCGCCCTTATCGCCGCCGCCGCCGCCGCCTACGCCGCCCCGACGCCCTTTATAGGTTTTCCCCTTCTCCGTTATACCGTATACGTTATATCCTTATTACTAATTCTATCGTAGAATATCCGTAAGTATTAATAGGCGGCTACCTATTAGACCCGCACTCTCCGGGTATACCGCGCCGCCCTTTACCAGGCTAGTAGTATTAGTATAGTCGCCGCCCCCGCCGCCGCGCCCCCTTAGAGTTATAGTAGTAGCTATACTCGTAATAGCGAGATATTAAACCTTATCCTCGCTTACCTTATAAGTTACCCCGCGCCTCCCCCGTATTAACCCTGTTACTAACGCGTATTATAAGGTATCCCCCTCCCCTCCTCTAAAGACCCTACTACCTCTACTACTAAGGATAAGGCTAATAAGGATAAGGTTATCCTAGTAGACGGTAGAGTAATTAGCTCCGATAACGCTAACGACTCCGATAAGTATATAGAGAACGATATAGAGGAGTAAGTAGGCGTACCCTAATAGCGCGGCTATAGTATAGCCGTATAACGGCTATTAATAAATAGTATACTCTCCCTTTACTTATCTTTATAGTCGTCTATACCTCCTCTATATATATATCTAAGGTTTTAGCGCCGCGGGGGCTTTACTACCCCTCTAATATTAGTTATCGTGCTAGTCTAAAGTCCGGAAGGCGTCCGGTTTATAGGAATTATTTCGCGACCTTCCCCGCGGTCTCCTTACTCCGGAGCGCTAGGAGCTAGTCCTATTTTATTAATAGGCGCGCGCCCGTATCGGCCGCGAGGCGCTCCGGTATCTCCCCTAATATATCCCGGCACTATAACGCGATATATTCCGCTATCTCCGGCCTTTTATCGGCGTACCGGTAGTATAGTGTTACCGTATCCGGTACGCCTTTTATAAAGAGGAAGTGGCGAAGGCCTATCTTCTCTATTCGTACCTAGGTAAGGATAAAACTCTATAGTTTTATAAGGCCCTTATATTTCCTAAGCACTATACGGTCGAATTAAGGCGTCCACG